CTTCGGAATAGGGATGGAAAGGGATCATAAAAGGCTGCCAAATGACATTAAATGGCTTTTTCACAACAAAGTAATTTCTCCAGATCAGTTTTCTCTCTCTACTATACTTAATTGAAGTAGCATTATAATCTGCTCATGTTTAATATGTTACTTAGAACAGCATGCTACAAAAATAAAAAAGCAGACTCATTGGCATCAAGTCAGCTCTGACTCTTGGTGACCTCGACCTCATGAGTGCGTAATAACAGAGCAAGAGGAAAAGATGGAGAAATAAGCAGCAAAGATACAGTTTGCTCCCTGCCCACATCGTGCTCTCGCTCTGCCTTGTAGCTAGAGAGGAGGGGCCAGGAGATGCCACCTTCTCCCCACTCTGATGGTCGCTCAGTCAGGGGATTCTCCTGCCACTGACAGGCTGTGTAATCATTCACCTCAGTTTGGAAATGTTCTGTTTTTATAGCGTGAGTGGATTATGTACCTGCAGCTTAGCTACTCTTCGTATAAAGTTGCTGTTCAAACATTTAAATCCCACTAAGCCAAAGGGAATGTGGTGAAGGGGATCCAATTATGTTATCTCTCTTTTTCGGTGGTGGTGGGGTGCTCAGATCTCTGGGTTTCCAAGTATAATGTACAAATCATTTTATCCCATGCTTATGGTTTTGTTCTTTGCTTTTAACTTTTGAATTGCCTCTTCCAAAATAACTTGCAAATATAGATGGCCAACTATATTGTGGTTTGGTTGACTTCAAATAAGGACTCTTTCATTCTACCTTCCCCTGACCCCAAATCTTCATATTTAAAATGTCATTATTAATGAAAAAGTAGAATCAAATTTTCCATAGTTGGTGAGACATATTAAACCTTCTTATTTATCGTAATATATAGCATTATTCCTAGAGTAGCTCTACCAGCAATCACTGCTGAGCTGGTTTTTATGGTTGTGTCTCCGTATCTTAAAGGGGCTGTCATGACTGCTTGTTAGAGGTGGGCCCCTCCTTTCCTTTTTACAACTCCACCACCATGCAAAATGTGTTTGCTTAATAAATGCAAAGTCATATTAATATTAATTTTGTTGTTGTTAAATGCCATTGAGTCGGTTCCAAGTCATAGCTACCCTGTATAGGGTTTCCAGGAATCGGCTGGTGGATTTGAACTGCTGACCTTATGATTAGCATTCCAGTGCTTATTCTACAGTGTCACACCAAGATTCCATTGTTAACCATGGTGGTGTTAGTGTGCCACAGAGTGGTTTCTGACTCATAGTGACCCTGTATAGGGTTTCTGAGACTGTAAGTCTTTACAGGAACAGAAAGCCTGTCTTTCTCCCATGGAGTGACTGGTAGACTTGAACTGCTGACTTTGCAGTTAGCGGTATAATGTGTAATCCACTACATGACCAGAGCTCAATATTAATCTTGTTATTTTTGTTAAGTGCTGTTATTTCCAACTCATAGTGACACTATATAGGGTTTACTAGAAGTGGCTGGTGGGTTTGAAACGCTGACCTTGTGGTCGTCCAGTGCCTTATCCTATAGCACCACACTTTAGGAAAACATTTCTTTCAAGTGTTAAAAATAACAAATGCATATTTCCTGGGTTATTTATATTGATATAGATACTCAATGGTTGGTTGTATTTTGGACTGAAAATGTAGACTCAGATCCTCTTCATTTATCCAAAAGACCCTAAAAGTCCTGTTGTTAATTACAATGACTGGAAAACTTAACAGAACAACATACACTGAAAAATTATATACATATTTTTAAAAACAGGAAATGAAATTAGATCTTCTTTTTGGTTAACTGGATGGGAGGAGTTTTCGTCTTGACTCATCCCATTTCACAGTAAATGTATCTCGTCAGGTTCCAGATGCTATTGATTGTAAGGTGCATCGTGATTTCAATGACACTGAAATATGAAAAAAATGTGGTTTTAGGATGAATTTAATATGCTCAGTACAGATCTCTGCGCCTGGAGACCTCTCTAGGACATTGTTTTCTATAGACCAAAAGTCAGCAAGCCTCGTTGTTCCAACTCCTAGGAATCCTGTGTAGGGTTTCTGAGGAGCTGGTGGTGGGTTTAAGCCTTGCAGTAAGTTTGCAGTTAATAGGCCAGTGCTTACCCTATAGTGCCACATCAGGACTCCTGGTCTGTGTTAACCCCTTTCAAATGTTGCATATAATTTTTTAACAAATGAACCTGAACACATAGCTGACCTTTGAGTGTGTGTCCATAGTGTGCTGGGAAGGACTCGTGATTCAGAATTCAGTGAAGAGGACACGACGACCTAATTTAGGATCAGACCATGTTCATGTTTTTGAAACTGGAATAATAAAACTAAACATGACTTTTTATCTACAGTATACCCCAAATGGACCTTTGCTGTTTTTAAATCTCTCTGGTAGCAACTCTTATCAATAAAAGTATTTTGAATGTCAATTCAATGTAAAGTCCTGCAGGGAAATCATGAGATGAATAACATGTACCACAAATGCAAACATTTCAGGTGTGTAAGAGTCTCATTTCTAGGAAATTATCTAGGATAAGCACTGAGCTGCTAACTACAAGGCCAGCAGTTCAAGTCACCAGCTGCTCTGAAAGATGAGACTTTCTGCCCCCTTAAAAATTCCAACTGCATTCAACCACAATGCGTCACTAAGCGTCGGAATTGACACGATGGCAGTGGCTTTGGTGTTTTGGTTTGACTTTCTTTTCTCAGTTTATAGTTTAAACCTGTTTCTTTTCTTGCTCTGTCATCGGTAGAGCAATAGCTGGGGAAGAGAACAAATGGGATTGAGTCTCTGGGTACCCTCCTCCTCCTCCTTTTTAAATGAGTCATATGAGCCTGACTCTGGTGATAGGGCCTGGTGATGGAGCTGAGAATTACCCAGATGCTCTTTTCCTTGTCACATGGATTGATTGACACTGGTCTTGGGACGTGTCGGTAAAGATGCTGCTGAGGCAACACAGCCTTGAGAGACAAGAGAGAGAAAAGCTGATTGTCTTGGTCTACAGTGATGTGGTCTTGTGGTTTGATCTGGGTTAAGCAGAGTTAAAGGAGGGACAGTTCTTGACTAACCTTAGGTCACTTTCTATTTTAGTCTGTTTTCTAGACCATTTTGCAATACAACGCTTAACTCTAACTGCTGCTGTAGCTGTGTATTGTACGCCTTTCCAGGGGCTAGCATTAATGTAGGCAACAGAGAAATGACAAGCACATTTGCAATTATTCACATATACCAGTGTGGTTGGTGCACTCTATTATTAGACTGCTTTCATGTTCAAATTTTTATTACTATATTTCAGTATGGCATGTTAGAATTCATCTCCATCCCTTTTCATCTGCTATATTGCAGTGACTCAGATATCCCATATTAGAACTCTGTTAGACACTAAGGAGAAAAAAAAAATGAAACAGTGACTGCCCTAAAGGGTCTCTTAGTCTAGGAAGAGAGAGAAAAGCTCACAGCTCAGGGAAGGAGCTAACCCAGCTGACCAGGAGACAGACTACTTGGTTGTCAATAACACAAAGCAGAACTCTGCCTACCGGAGACTAGGATTCTACTGACCCTCTAAAACAACAGGCAGGATTCCATACATTTGATGATACACTCAGGTGATGCTGCCCTGGTATGAAGAGTTCTTAATCTCTCCTCATAGAGAGCAGATTTATCATTTAGAGATCAGCAACTGCCAGAGAAGGCTTTTTTGCTATGTAGAAGGGCCAACATGGTTTCCGTGAATTAAATTAGGACCCTCTTCTCCTGCCAGTACTGGACGGGAGTGGTTCAAAAAGGAGCAAGACTGAAGGACTCACAGAAGGGATTGTTTTCAAAGGGAGTCTGCAAAGGATTGTCTGCTGGAGGTTGAACCTCCTGGTAAATAACTTGCCATTGTCTTGATTTATTGTTATTCTTCTTAAAAAATCCTTTCCTTTGTAGAAATGTCAGTACCAGGTCTAAAATTTCTCTGAAGTGCTTTATGTCTGGGAATAACTTTATTTGCTTTTTGAAGAAAGCTGAGATTTCAAGGCAAGATAAAAGCTTCCACAGGTCATGTGACCCTCTTGACTTGTTTATGGCCATTTGTTTTAAGACAATTTGCAGAAATAAAATGTATGTATGACACATCTGCTTGCAGCATCACGGTCAGGTTAGGTATAAGTTAACATCTGCCACAAATGTTGGCCCACACATACCATCTTGATGGCAAATATATATCGAAGTTTAATTCAAGGTGTGCAACTCTAATTTTAATATTTCAGTGCTAAGTCATGTTGTGCTCCTCTTTTCTAGAAATCCCAATTACAAACAAATCTAATCAAGGGTTAGTTGAGGAGGGAGAGGAAGATGAAGAGTCAAGAGGAATCACTTATTTAAACACTCAGAAAGTTTGAGCTTTGGTTCATTTTTGGTTGAAACATAGTACATGTGTTATGTTTAGTTTGCTCTGCTCTAAAATAGCACTGTTAATTTTTTCATTTGGTGGATTTTCACACAAGTGCTAATCACACGTTTCTATAAATTATATTAATTTAACTTATTTCCCTAAATGTTGTTCTGCAGTGAGTAGCACGGATGTTCTCAGCTTCTTGGCTGGGTTAGCTTGTTGCCGGCTGGGTAAGCTTATTGCCGTTGGAAGCAGGACAGAAACATCTGAAAGGCATTATTTGGATTATGACTGCTGAAGCATCTGATCTCACCTTTTGCTCTGGTTCCTAAATCATAGCTCTTCTTCCTCTTGCATTGTATCTGCATGTCCCCACCCCCTCTATCTTTGACATGGCCCCAGGGTTGATTTTTTGGAGCAAGCACTGGCATCAGATCATATATACATTTAGGTAATCGTGTTTGATGCTAAATAGCCAGTTTTGTGTAGAGGAGTGTGAAGGTTTCAAGTTTAGAAGACAAAGGAGATTAGTGTGGGCTATAATGGGCCTGTTTTTATCCTAATATGGAGTACTCATATTTTGGAAAAATAACTTGTTTTATTTTTCTTTCCAGAGTATGATTTCATCCATTGTAAATAGCACATATTATGCCAATGTGTCAGCAACCAAGTGCCAGGAGTTTGGGAGATGGTATAAGAAGTACAAGAAGATTAAAGGTAAACGGACTGTTTTATTCTTAAAGCCTGTTTTCAGTTTTTTAAGTCATTGAATTGTGGGCTTGTTATAATTTATGCTAATTTTAGATACAGTTTATATAGTTTTGTACAAAGGTAATATTCTGTCATGTGGATACAAATTGGTTCCTCTGAAACAAAGAAGGTAATAGAACAAAAAGTAAATTTCTTGGTATAATATATAAAGTTTATAGTTTTCCCAAAGAGATGCATGGGAAGCCCCAAATCTTTAGAAATATTTTGGAGTGGTTTATTCCAGCTAGGCATGTCTATTTTAAAAGCTTAATCAGTAAGTCATTCCCATTAGTGTATTAATGGAAATGTAAAACTCATCTCTTATAGTTTAAGTACTGATCAACATATTAGAATAACTGTTGTGGGGTATCTGGAAATGTGGGGTTATGCATGGAGTTTTGATATTATATTTCTTTGTAGACAATTCTAGATCAGTGGTTACAGCAAAGACTGTCTAATCAAGCAGACTTGTGTCCAAATCTTTGCATTCCACCTTCTTGTGTCTGAGCTGGAGCACAGCCTCAGTCTGCTCATTGGAAGTAATAATAACACATTTGTCACTGAGTAGCTATGAAGACTAAATAAGATAATACTCCTAAGTACAAGAAGGAGCCCTGGTAGCATAGTGGGTTATGAGTTAGGCTGCTAACCGCAAGATCAGCAGTTCAAATCTACCAGCCACTCTTCAGGAGAAAGATGAGACTTTCTACTCCCGTGAACATTTACAGCATCAGAAACCCTATACAGGGCTCCAGTGAGTTGGAATCGACTCCATGGCACATAACCACCATAAGAAAGCAAACTGCCACATATTACTTCTGCAGGTATATTCAAATGGCTGACCTTTTGGTTAGCAGCCAACCACTTTAAACGCTACTCTTTTACAATGTGAACCTTGTAATAATATTAGTAGTAATAGTTCTGTATCCCTGGTGGTGTAGTGATGAAAGTACTCCACGGCTAACTAAAGGTTAGTGGTTCGAATCCACGAGGTGCTCCATGGGAGAATACGTGGCAGTTGGTTTCTGTAAAAACTGTAGCCTTGGAAACACTATGGGGACAGTTTTACGTTGCCCTCTAAGGTCCTTATGAGTCATAACTAACTCAACAGTAATGGGTTTGGTTGGTTTTTTGGTTCGTGATATTTCTATTTGTTGTTAAGTGCCGGCGAGTGAGTTTCAACTCATATCAACCCTGAATAAGGTTTCCAAGGAGCGGTTGATAAGTTTGAACTGCCAACCTTGTGGTTCAAACTGACCTTGCACTCTAGTGCTTTATCTCACAGCGTCACACCAGGACTCCAATAGTTCTAGTGGTGGTGGTGATGTGCTGTGGAGTCGGTTTTGACTCATAATGACTCTGTACAGGGTTTCCAAGTCTGTAAATCTTTTCGTGAGCAGAAAGCCTCATCTTTCTCCCATGGAACAGCTGGTAGTTTCGAACTACTGACCTTAAGGTTCGCAGCCCAATTCATAACCACTACACTGAATTATGTTTGGTCCCAAAATACAGTTCTTTATATAATAAATAGCATGTTATTTACACCCCCTAACTCTTTAAATGTATCAGTGATATTCCGCTTTTGCAAGTATGTTAGTGTTGGAAAAATTCTTTTCTCACCTCAATTCAGATAGATGCTGGCAGCCTCAGAAGGGCTTTAGGGAAAAGTTTGTAGCATGATAGATCAACGTTGAAGGGGCCTTCCAGGCCCTGTTTGTCATGATTATGACATCACCCATTGTGCTTTATTATTGGTGTGCACAGCCTTGTTGACAGTCACTGACCCCATTTGAGGCCAAATGACAATTTATGATGGGTAGGTAGAAATAAAGGATGCATTTACTTGTTTTACTCCTTGCAGGTTTCCTTTGGGAAGACAGGGTGTCAAAGTAATGTTTGTTGGCTGGTGAATGTTTGGAAGCTTATTCACAAGGTTACCTTTTGAGAAAATGAGCTTTTTATGTACATTTCTGATGACAAAGAAATGAGAATATTTTATGTTAAATATACAAGTTATAAGGCAAGTTAGAATGTTGAACTGAAACAAACAAAACCCAAACTTGTTGCTGTTGAGTGAATTCAGACTCGTAGCAACCCTATAGGGCAGAGTAGAATTACTCCATACGGTTTCCAGTGCTGTAAAGCTTTATGGAAGCAAACTACTGCATTTTTCTCCTATCTTTCTGTTGTGGAGCTACTGATGAGTTCGAACCACTGAATGGTTAGCAGCTGAATGGTTAACCATTGCACCACTTGTTGTTGTTGTTAAGTGCCTTCGAGTCAATTCTGACCCATAGCGACCCTGTATAGGGTTTCAAAGGAGCAGCTGGTGAGCTTGAGCCACCGACCTTGCAGTTCAAACAACTCTGTAGTCTGACGCATTAGCCCACAGTGCTACACCATTGCACCACTAGGGTTCCTTAAATGTTGAACTACCCAGGAAAAATGAAGTGCACTGAGCACTGAAAACTGAATTAATTTCCAAAAAAATTCTTAGGACCCTTTAGATTCTAGTTTGTGTATTTGATTGATAATATTATTACTATTCTCCCTTGAATGGGATAAGATGAATAACTCCTGTTCAGTATAAAACATGATTGTGTAGTTCAGGTCCCCTTCCCCCCATGTAAGTACTGCCTCCAAGTTTGTTTGTTTGTTTTGCTAATGTGCTTGAACATATCCTCTTTGGTTAACAATCAAAAGAATCACATGGCTTCAAGGTCATTTTTTTAGATGCTGTTTACTTGCTGTTATAAGAGTAAGGAAGAGTGTGTACTTTAAGAGGCTGGATTGTCCTTTAGATTCAGAAAGACTGCAAGCTCTTCACTCCAGTGTTCTCAGAATCACCACTACAAATCTGTGAGTGAGTGTGCACGTGCACATGCGTGGTGTGCCCATAGGTGCATTAACACTCCTGTCTTCTACTTTTCTCCTTTCTCTCTTAGAGATGCAGCTCTATTTTTTTTTTTTTTTTTTGGTCAAGATAGTAAATGCACAGTTAAACTTTTAAGTGCCGTAAAAGCAGACTGAGGCCTTGATTTCAATCAAGAGGTCAAGGATGCACACCTGGAGGGGCTGTCAGACACTATGTACACATGCTCTTCAAAGAGATGCAGCTTGTCATTGCCGCTTGAAAGAGTGTGCGTGTATGTGTGTGTGTTAGTAGGAGGAGAAAAGGGAAGGTTAAGGTATGTGTGAAGTAAACACAAGCTGCCGTAAAACAGTTCAAGTGGTGTTGATTCATCAAGCAAGGGAGTGGGAGGAAAAACAAAGAATTCATGACAGGTATAATGGTGTGCAGAAAACAAACACCCAGAGGGGTGTTTTATTAACTTTCGACCCTCAGAAAAAAGCAAGTGTTGGACCTATATGGGCACATTTCATTTGATATACATGCTTTTTGTTACTATGATTATGTGTTGCTGTGTATTTTCTATTAGTAAGACCCATTTTTCATGGGAAAGTAACGATTTTGGTTTGTAAATTTTTGTCTGTGTCCATTTATTTTCAAAATGAAAAAATAGTAATGAATTGCAAGGGCCCCTGGATGGCACAAAGGTTAAACATTCAATTACTAGCTGAAAAGTCAGTGGTTTGAATCTACCGTGGTGCAGCAGGATAAACACTGGACCGCTAACTGCAAAATTGGTGGTTCAAACCCACAAGCCGCTCCTTAGAAACCCATCACAGGATTGCTATGAGTCAGAAGCAGCTTGATAGCGCTTAACAGCAGAGGCACCTTAGAAGTCATAGTCTTGAAAACTCTGTGGAGCACTGCTGCTCTGCACACAGAGGAGGATCCTCATGAGTTGGCATTGACTCCATGGCAACAAACAACAGTAATAATAATGAATTACAAGCCTGGAAATTAGCAGTACCAAAGTCAGGATTCTGTTTTAGGGCTCTTTTGAGAATCCAGGGTCAAAGTACCTACCATGTACCTCTTCGCTTCCTCAACCCCTTGTTTGTACCCTAAAGTTACCAGTTGATACGTATTGTGGCTGATTTTCAGTACAGAAGAAAATCTCAAGCTAATTTACTGATGCCCAAACTAAATGCAGAATACATTGTTAAATATGTTTCTTATTATCTGCTAATGTCTGTTTTAATAAAACAGTGGGAAGTAAATGGTTACTTCTTAATCAAAACCATGATTTCCTAAACATAAGCTATGTGAATCTGTTACAAATTGCCATATATGGATCTCCTAGGTCAAACTTTTTTTCTTTTCTTTTTTATTTCACAGAAATAAATAAACAGTAAAATAACTATATATTTTGAAAGATAAAAATAAATATGACTAAAACCTGGCAAAAATAAAAATCTACTAGAAGGCAAAAAAAAAAAAAAAAGATCAGATTGCAAATTCTATAGTTAATGCTTAAATAAATATGAGAAAAATGAACAATCAATAATTTGATATCATTAAAAACAGATGTAAAAACTATATACAAATGGAAAGGTCTAAATTCTGAAGTAAACATTTTAATGTACATTTTTTAAATTTGTTGTTATTATAGCTAAACTATTTACACTTATTCTTGAAAGAGTCTTAAGTTGGTTTGGCTTAGTATATTAACTTTATTTTCCCTAGTGATCAGAGCAAAGCACATTCTGTTTACCTTTATTCTTTAATTTCAAAGACAATCATGGTTGACACAGACATATTTGAGTTAACATTAGTGTTAATTTAGGATAGATGGGGAGACAGAGTTTGTATACTCTTGTTTTAAGGTCCAGAACCATGAACCTGCTTCCCAGGAGTTTTTGATATTGAACAACTCGGAGTGGGTGGCTAGGGTAGTTTAGAGAACAGTTTTTTTTAATGCTGTTCATCTCATCCTACAATTGCTTCTGCCCTAGATTTTTCAATGTAGACCTCATAAACTCCTAAATGTAAGAAAGACATATATATTCTATCTACAAGTGGGAGGTGGGGTGGGGGGAGGGAGACCAATATTAGTAAT